AAGAATTGCTCCATTATTTAATACCTTACAGGTCGTACCTGCAGAGGGCCAGGAGAATGGGCAAAGGGAAGAAGAGGAAGAAGAGAAGGAGCCTGAAGCAGAACCCCCTATACCTCCCCAGGTTTCAGTAGAGGTGGCCTTGCCCCCACCTGTGGAGCATGAAGTAAAGAAAGGTAGGTGAAGTGTACAGCTCCCTGAATTCCGAGAGCACTTTATTTGGACCTCTTTTAAAGCATTTAATGTTTTCTGCCTTTTATTATAGTGTTTTTGCATTGCTGTTTTACCTCCCTCTCCTAGTTATTGAGCTACTTGAGAGTTAGGTTAAAATCTTTGGATCTCCATAGTGAGGAGCTTTGCCTAGACAGTACCTTGCACATTGTAGGTGCTCAGCACAGTTAAGTGGAACAGTGCTTGGTAGGGAATGAGAGAAAGGCATAGCAGAGGTGAGAGAGCCAGCTTGCTCCCTGCTGAAAACTGTTCATGTGCTCTTTTTGATAGTGACTTTAGGAGATACCTTAACTCGACGTTCCATTAGCCAGCAAAAGTCTGGAGTTTCCATTACAATTGATGACCCAGTCCGAACTGCTCAGGTGCCCTCCCCGCCCCGGGGCAAGATCAGTAACATCGTCCACATCTCCAATTTGGTGAGTCCGAGTCATTTCCCACAGCCCGGCCTTGTTTAGTGGTTAAGAGTTTGAGCTTTGGATTCCTGTTACTGAACTTCAACTCCTAGATCTGCCAGTTACTCACTCACCAAGCGACTGACCTCATCTCTCTCAACCAGTCTCCTCCCCTGAAAAATGGGGACAAAGTATCAGCCTGCAGGGTTGTCTGGAGGATTTGCGGAGGGCCTGGCATGTAGTGTCTCCGTTGGTGTTACCGTTCTTCGCTCCCCTCTCATTCCCACGGGAGAGTTCCTGACCCCTCTGTGCCCATACTCTGAAGCTGTACTCCTGTGCCAGATACTTGGAGAATCTGAAGACTGGTTGCAGGAGTATTGTTCTTGCCTTCTTCAAGACTTGGAAACTCCATTTTCCTTGGCAGGTGCGTCCCTTCACTTTAGGCCAACTAAAGGAATTGTTGGGCCGGACGGGAACTCTGGTGGAAGAGGCCTTCTGGATTGACAAGATCAAATCTCACTGCTTTGTCACGGTGAGGAGGAAGCTGATTCTCTAGGTTGTGGCACACATTTCCTTTTGTAACCAACGTGGGCAGGTTCAGGGGCCTTGTGGCAAGTGGGAGAGATTGAGGCCTGTTGTGACCCTCTGCCTTCTGCCTTCCTCCACCAGTACTCAACAGTAGAGGAGGCAGTTGCCACTCGCACAGCGCTACATGGGGTCAAGTGGCCCCAGTCCAATCCCAAATTCCTTTGTGCTGACTATGCCGAGCAAGATGAGGTAAGAAACCTAGGGAAAGGAAGGAGGGGAGGGGCAGGGGAGGCCATTATCTGCTAGAATCCAGCTGAGATCCTGGCCAAACCTGCAGCCACTGAGATTCCTTCTCCCTTTTCCTACCCCTTGGTTCCTTTCGTTGAACCATGGGGCTCCAAAATCTGTATGCCCTGGTACCTGGGCTCCTTCAGTGGGAGTGTTATCCTCTCCATCCTGACTGTCCTTGTCCCTCCTCTACCCACAGCTGGATTATCACCGGGGCCTCTTGGTGGACCGTCCCTCTGAAACTAAGACAGAGGAGCAGGGGGTACCACGGCCCCTGCACCCCCCGCCCCCACCCCCAGCCCAGCCACCACAGCACCCCCGGGCAGAGCAGCGGGAGCAGGAGCGGGCGGTGCGGGAACAGTGGGCAGAGCGGGAACGGGAAATGGAGCGGCGGGAGCGAACTCGATCAGAGCGTGAATGGGATCGGGACAAAGTTCGAGAAGGTCCCCGTTCCCGATCACGGTCCCGTGACCGCCGCCGCAAGGAACGTGCGAAGTCTAAAGAAAAGAAGAGTGAGAAGAAAGGTACTTAGCTGTCGGGACACACATACCTGCTAGTAGGTGGGAAAGGAACCCAAATGGGATGGGACACACAGGGTCATAGAGCATAAGGTCTGACTCACTTTCTCGCACCTCAGAGAAAGCTCAGGAGGAACCGCCTGCCAAGCTGCTGGACGACCTTTTCCGTAAGACCAAGGCAGCTCCCTGCATCTATTGGCTCCCGCTGACTGACAGCCAGGTGAGTGCTCACTTGAGGCTCCGCTCTGAGTAGCAGCCAGGCTTGACAGCAGTGCAAGGGGGAGAGTCACTTGACTACTGGTGTGAGAAGGCCCAGGTATTGGCTTAGGATAAGGGAAGAAACTAAGCATCACGGAAAGGCAGTTTTTAAGAACCAGGTGACCGTACGCCATAGAGAAGCCAAACCCAAGAGTGCCAAGGTCAACACAAAGACAGGAACTGGGTTTGTGTGTCTAGGAAGCTGTCTGTGCCAACCATCCTTGTCGGAAATTGATTTCAGTTAGCTGAGAAGCCATTTCTCTGCTTTTTTAATTCTAGGATAGTTTGCCTTTTTTTTTTTTTTTCCAATTTTTATTTATTTGGTAAGTAATCTACACCAAATGTGGGGCTCAAACTCAACAACCGCAAGATCAAGAATTGCATGCTCTTCCAACTGAGCCAGCCAGGCACCCCTAAGATTTTTTTTTGCTTTTTAAATTTAAGTTTCTTTGTAATGGGCCTTTTTGGGAATTTGAGGCTCATGTACTCGGCTAAAGGGAAAAGTGGTTTGTTCACATCTTAAGTAGCTGGGGGAATACGAGAGGCAAGGCATGGATGGTGCCACTGCCTGTCGTGGGTATAAAAGGCGAACACTTGGAGGGATGGGGACCCGGAGACAAAGACAGGTGTGATTGCAGACAACCTCCTTCCTGCTTAACAGCAAAGCTGGCGATGATCCTGAGCTAGGGCAGGGCCCAGGGACATACAGACAAGGCGGGACTGGCGTGTGCGGGATCTCAGCAACCTTTGCTGCCTGCTGCAGATTGTTCAGAAGGAGGCTGAGCGGGCTGAACGGGCCAAGGAGCGGGAGAAGCGGCGAAAGGAGCAAGAAGAGGAAGAGCAAAAGGAGCGGGAGAAGGAAGCAGAACGGGAACGGAACCGGCAGCTAGAGCGGGAGAAGCGTCGAGAGCACAGCCGAGAGAGGGACAGGGAGAGAGAGAGGGAAAGGGAGCGTGACCGGGGTGATCGGGAGAGGGAGAGGGAGAGGGACCGGGAGCGAGGCAGGGAGAGGGACCGCAGAGACACCAAGCGCCACAGCAGGAGCCGGAGTCGGAGCACGCCTGTGCGGGACCGGGGCGGGCGCCGCTAGCTGGGAACGCACGAGCGAGAGCTGCAGGCATCAGCCACCCTGCCCCGGGGGGTTCGAGGCCACAGAGGGATAGGTACAATCTCCACCGCCCTAGAACCAGGGGTCTTTCACACCATTTACCCAGTGCTCAAGTATGGCTGCCACCTGTCCCCACATACCAAATGGAGCAGTGGCCGTCTTTCCCCCCAGAGCCCCACCCCCATAACCTATCTCTTGGGAGTTAGCCCTCTCCTCACTCTCCTTTCCCACTGTTGAGTCTGAGAGGGAAGAGCTAGGTTAGGGAGGGAGGTGGTTGGCCCAGAGGTGGGGAACAGCCAAGAGCCCCAGACCTCTCATTTTTCCTCCATCCTGCTCACCACCTCCTTTGGGTACTCACAACCCCCTCTTGGGAACAGCCGGGGCCAGGACTGGGTCACCTATGAGCTGAATCAGCATCTCCTCCTGAGTCCCAGGGCCCCTGCAGTTCCCAGTCTCTTCTGTCCTGCAGCCCTTGCCTTCTGCCCACCGGTTCCACTTTATATCCACCTTTTCCTTTTGTTCAATTTTTATTTTTATTTTTTTTATTATTAAATGATGTGGTCTATGGAAAATAATAAAAATCTGACTTAGTTTTAACTAGTGTGTGACTGGGTTTCCTTGGGCAGGGCCGGGGGGAGAGCCAGACAGTTGGAAGAGGACGGCTGTAGCATGGGGGCACCATCGCCTGCATTCCATACACTTGTTTAGGCAGCCTGCTGCTTCCGGGAGCAGGGACTTCCCGCCCTCCATCTCTGTCTTGGCTCTACCCACGTCACCACGGAGCATCGTCCTCACTGGAGGCCAGAGGGGAAGATCCCTGGGAAGAGGAGGTTCCCTGTCCCGGTGCCCAGTCCCGCGTTAGAGGCGTTCGGTCACCTGCTCGCCACCCTCAAGGCGCCTCCCACAGCGGCCGCCAGGGGGCGGCAGCCGCTCGCTCAGTGGGCGCCTGTAAATGAGCTTCCCAAAAAGGCTCCCCTCCCCACCGCCGTCCCCTCCCGCTGCTGTCGTGCCTCGGTCCCTGACCTGCTCCTTGGGCCCAGCCCGCGGACTCCCTGGACCCTTCTGCCGGCCTTAAGCACTCCCCAGTCGGCCGGCTGTGGTGCCCCGCACCGGCTCCCCGAATGCCGCCTCCTTGCGGCCGGGGTTCACAGCAGCCCCAGAGGCCGCTCCGGGAGCGGGAGCGGGAGCCGCAGCCGGGCCTCTCCGCAGCCGGCTCCTAATTCCCCGCCTCACCGCGCGCTCGCCCTTCGCCCCGCGGCGTGGGGGCGTGCGGGGCCGCTCGGCGCTCCCGGCTGC